TTTGTTTACCTAATATACCTTTAAATCTTAATATTATATTAAGGAGGACTAAAGGGGCACAGGATATTTATGCTGTTTTATGCCGAAATGATACAAAACCCACGTCACAAAGGAAATGGTCTACGGTTTTTAACATTCAGGACAAATTATGGATAAAGATTTATGCATGTCCTTTTAAAACTACTGAAAGTACTAAATTAAGATGGCTTCAATACCGAATTAACCATAGAATCTTAACTACAAACACACTCCTACAAAAAATGGGAATAAAACAAAATTCAACTTGTACTTTTTGTAAAAGATTTCCAGAAACAATTGAACATCTATTTTGGGATTGTGGTAAAGTATGTGAAATTTTGAGAGAACTAAAACAATTGCTTGCAACCAGTAATATTGATTTGAATTTTGACAAACAGGAATTTATATTTGGACAATTCAGTTCTAAGGATGCTGATTTGATAGTGGACAATCTTATCCTATTATTGATTAAACAATACATTTTTAAAATGAAATGTCTAGAAATGGAACTTAATATAACAAGTTTAAATAATCACATTCTTTTTGAACTTAAATATCATAAGATCTTGATAATTAAGCATAAAAACTGCAAAAATAATATAGCCTTGCTTAATAAAGTAGAAAAATGGCTTCTCTTATAAAATAACACGAATAATTATCATTATACTATAAAGAAAAGTTTGCAATCCCCCCCCCCCCCGGGGGGCATGTAGGGTGTATACGTATGTGTATGTATGTGTGTACAGTATATAATTGGTCTCTTGTAAAGAGGTGTCCATTGTGAAGGGAATTGTAATCAATGTTATGTATGCTTGTTGCTTTGTGTGTAAATGTGTTGTTTATAAAAAAATAAAAATTGAATAAAAAAAATAAACAAATAAAAATGTATAGGTCATTCAAAAGAACCTGTTAAAAGATTTAAAAACATTTCACCCTTGTGACCTTGAAAGTCGAACAAGGTCATTATGTTGAACAAATTTTATAGCCCTTCATCTCAGGATGCAACTTGGAAAACATTACCACCCTATCCTTTTGTTTATTGAAATTGAGTCATTTAAATGTTTAAACATATTTGACTAAATGTGACCTCGAAAATGGGTCAAGGTCATTCATATGTAACAGCTTGATAGCCCTTCATCCAAACATGCTACTGGCCAAATATCAACATTCTGGCACTCATGGTTATTCAGAAGAAGTCAATAAAAGATTTTAAACAATTCGACCCCCATGGCCAAATATAATCAAGGTCATTCACTTAAACAAACTTGGTAGCCCTTCATTCTAGCATGCTACTGTCCAAATAAATATCATCACCCTGGGCATTTTGTTTATAAAGAGGAAGTTATTTAAAGTAAAATATTGACCGGACGACGGATGAACGACAGACGGACGATGGACGCCTCACCATGGCTTCACCTTCGGGCCAGATGGCTAAAAATGCCCTTCGGTCATCCCAACAATGTCCCTTTTACTGATCAATAGTATTATGTCTTCCTCAATATTCAATCAAACCTATAGTTTAGTATAACAAGACTTAATTTCATATAATAAACAAGAGGCCCAGAGGGCCTGTATCGCTTACCTGGGTAATCAAGCAACCATCCAAAATTATACATGTAACAACAATTTCCAAATATTGGCTCTGTCTGTCTACAATGCCTGTCCCTCATTAGGTCCCTTCTTTCTGCCCCAATGAATTAGGATGGATTTTAAACATTTCCCTCAATTTGCCCTATTAGGCCCGCCTCTCTGTCACCCCCTTAAAGCAAACCGCTATTTATATAAAATTGAGTCCCCTTTGCCCAAGGATGCTCTACACAAAATTTGGTTACAATCCCTCCAAATGAAACTGAAGGAAAACATTTATTACTATGTTCCCCCCACTGGACACTTCCCCTTTGCTCCAACGAGGACCAAACTGTCTGTTAAAACAAATTGAGTCCTCCTTGCCAAGTGATGTTCTTGCCCAAATTTGGTTAAAGTATATCTCAAATCATACTGAAGGAGAAGGATTTTAAACATTTTCCTGAAGGCGGCCACTCCCTACGTGTATACAAAATTGAGTCACCTTTGTCCAATGATGCTCTACACAAAATTTGTTAAATCTCTCAAATGATACTAAAGGAGAAGGAATTTAATCCTTTATTTCCATGTTCCCCTATTGGCCCTCGCCCCTCTACCCCCGGGTTAACAACCATTGTACTCACAATGTCAACAATCACCTCCTCTGTCTCCCACTCCTGGAGATCAGCATCAATAGCCGAGTCTCGGCTGTGGTTGTGGCCAATACCATTCAGTTGGTTTTTACGAGCTTCTTTTTCCATTACACTTTCATATTTCTCCCTGAAATAAATCAAAAGGGAATTAAGTTAAAATTCACTTGATCTACGTCCTGTGCAACAAAGTTTGCAATCAAAGTACTGCGATGCAATGACTTGAGTACAAAATGTAATATTAACCTGAACATGACATAAAGAGAAAACATGTTTTTCTGACCATTTCAGGTGTCAAAACCCAGAAATTACCGTATTTAAATGTCCAAGTGATATTGAATTACAAAGAAGATAGTTCAATAAAAAAAAATGTAACTAACACGACTCTCTTTATTATCAGTGAAGTAATCGCTTTTTATCTATTTATTTTATTTAAATATGCAGCCAAAATCCTTGCTAAATTCCGGCAGTGCTCTTCGATCGTACGTGACCAAATAAGCCTAGATTGACATGTTAGTTGTCGGCTGCTAGTGTATAATCTGCTCCGAATTAAGTCGTTAAGAATGTCATGTTTGTACAAATTTACTTTAATCTTTTCATTGCTTTGATTTTTAAAACATCTGTGTAAATAAGATACTTCAATCATGCGTTCCAAGTTCACATTGTTTTCTGCGAGTGCAGAGAACGTGAAAAAGCTACATTTATCGACCAATCAGATGCCGTGAAACAAAGGAAGAGAAACCCCCATTGAAAATGGGTCTAAACTGTGCTTACGATATTTTGAAACAAAATATAAGGATTCGAACAAATATCAGCTTAGAACATCTATATTCTGAAATGTATATCCGATGATATGCTCAAATTTAAACATTTAATATGATTTGCAATGTAAACGGTAATGAATTGTTCGATTTATTGATTACGACATAGCTGCCGACGTCATGATGGGGTCCACTGTATTTTCCGAGATCTCATACAATTTTGCGATTCAGTCAAAACCTACACATTACGTTAAATGAACTTGGCGTTTGAAAGTCAAATCGTTTATTTTATTTTTCACATTTATAGTAGAGCAATGCAACCATATCCGCTAAAGAATCGGATTTACAGTACAGTGTTTGATGTCGTTTGGATAATTTTAAAAACAAAACTAGAATTATGTCAGTGTGACATTAAAGCCGCTCACCACTTTAAATTTGATTGCTTCAGTAACACACTGAGCATCAATATCTACTATAATACCTCAGATATGTGTTCTGTATTCTACTAATTGAAAATCAGGTCATGTGATGATGTTGCCTTTGGGATTTTCAAAATCAATCGCCTCTTAAATGATGCCTTAAAAACATTTCTCCCTCTCCTCTTTTTTCACCCTCTTTAAGTGTGACGCATTGTTGTAATTTTCATTAAATAGCATCCTCCAATGATGTGACATGAGTATTTACGTGCAGAATGGCAATCGGTGAATGGATAATAAAGAGTAGGTGCATTTTGTGCTTGTGAAATGAAGGATAATTAACAAGTAGCGGGAAAACATGCATGGAGAAAAGAGACATTGTACTCCTTCTTTTTTATTTATTTTTTATTCATATTAATAATAATTATTAATATATGTAGCGACTATATTTACCGTCATTGAATATACAAAATCTCACAAATGTTCTTGGAATATATTTGAATTATATTTCTCAATGTGACTTTAACAACGTAAGAGTTATTTCCCTTACACCCAATTGGATACTATTTTGACACGGCGCGGCTGTTGTGTCATGTTCTTAAATTGTTACACTTTCATAAATCAATACACCAGAAATAGCATGCTGTGTTACAGAAATGCATACACAGTTCACATATCGTCTCATCTCGGAGCCATTACTGTTATCAACCTAAGCACGATATGTCATATTACGTTCCCGTTTCAAACATCAAAATAGAGGTTATACTTCATCACTCATACGGTTTATAAGTATATATATTTACTTCTTCCTTCTACAGACAGCGTCAATGCTTGACCGTCTTCACATGTGCTTTCTCGAATCATATGTGTTTCACACGCGTAACACTCCTCAGACCACAATCCGAGTTGCTAAAACGCTCAAACCTAGTGCACAAATTTCACCACCACAACACTCGTAGAATGCACCGGAGATGAACATTTTGTTTTCAGCAATTATTTAAAGTATGGATTATTATTTGGAGAAGAGTATCAGAAGACTTAATGTAACCCACAGGTGAGTGTCAGAGATTCTACTTTCTATTTACGATAAAGAAACTATATAGCGGAAGCATGCAAGACTGAATTATGCGCACGCACCCCGAACGGATGTGGGTCCGTCATTTTGTTCTCTGGACAGAATTAATAAGCCGCTCGGCTCTCGCCAAAAGCGGCTTAACAAAAGCGATCAAATTATGTGAAACTTGCTAAGGTTTTATTATTTACATCGCTTATTAGATGAAGCATTTAAGTGAAATGCTATTCTTTATTGTAACAACATCGAGTCCCTCACAGAAACCATTTGTAGGCCTACGTAACGGTCACTTAATGTGTAACGTTAACTCGATAATTGAGCAGTAGTTAAAGATGAAACAAACACTCGCGTTTCAATACATCAGTGATTCATTTCTAACACAGATCTATTTATCAGGCTTAAAACAGGTTGCCATACCGATTTGTGGACCCTACCGGTAAGTTTGGTCGATCTATTGTTCCGCAGTCAGCCATGTTTGAAAAAGACGCTGTTAGGTTTTGATGTTGTTTACATCACGCATCCAGGTGTGATACCAGATCCCGGGGGCATAAATAATTGATTCTTACAATAATTTACCAATTATTTTTTGTGACAGTGGCCAAAATAAAGTGATATAAAGCGAAAATGATATAAAAAGAAGTAATAATAAAAGATTTAATTCCATAGATTATATAGCAGGGAAAACAGTGCATCAAGAAAACATGATAATAACCGAAAATTGACATTAAGCGGCGTGATATAAAGTGAAATGTACTGTATAATTTTATCTTTTTAAACCCATGTCAGTCCTACGATATTAAATTTGTTCACTTTCATAATAAGACTCTCTCTCATTTTTTTTTCATTTTTTTTTTAAATATTTGATCCCCATGGCCCTAGCCTAGCCGGCCCAGGGGTTATATCAACAAGAGATCCCAGAGGGATCTTGGCGCTCACCTTTGTACCATCTTCATTAGTTTTGTCAGTTCGATCTTTTCTCTTCTTTCCTCTAATCTGTTTGATCGAGTCATGTGAACCGTAAATGCACCTTGAGGTAACTTTTGATCTAAACTTAGTACTGATGTGTATGAAAACCAACCTTCAAAGTGAGTTTGTCATTTCACATATTTACTAGTACAGTACTAGAAAAAATAGAATTGATCATTGCAATATGAGAAAGATCTGTTTAGTTCTTCCTTTAGCCATTTAGTCATTTTGATTTTATGATCAGTCTCAAAATATAACATGCACAACGAGGGATCAAGGGGAACCTACATATCAAATTTGAGAAAGAACAAACCTTCGATGTCAAAAATCGAAGATGGCTGTCGGTAAGCCATTTTGTTTAACTGATCAGTTTAAAAAGTAAATAGAATTTGAGAAAAAAAACTCCAGTACTTCCTCGGAAATAGCATTAACAAACCTTAACTCATTCACCCCTGAAGACACATATGAACTCTGCCAATTCAAAGGTTGGAATAGTTCATTATGAAATTTCAGGGGTGAATGAGTTAACTGTCAAAATCAAAGATTTGTTTATTCAATCAGTCTCATAAGAAAGTATGCACAACTTCATACCAAGGGGAACCTACATAAAAAATTAAGAAAGATCTCTCCAGTATTTCCTGAGTAATAGCAATAACAAACCTTCACTGTCAAAATCCAAGATGTCTGCCTGTCTGCCATTTTGTTTATCTGATCAGTCTCAAAAGTTTATATACACAAGTAAGGACCTAAGGGAACCTACATATAAGATGTGAGAAAGATCTCTCCACTACTTCAAATAGCGATAACAAACCTTCAATGTCAAAATCCAAGATGGCTGCCTGTTGGCCATTTTGTTTTTCTAATCATTCTCAAAATTAAATATAAACAAGACCTAGGGGAGCCTACATAACAAATTTGGGAAAGATCCCTCCAGCTCCTCCTGAGAAATAGCCATAACAAACCTTTAATGTCACAATCCACTATAGTGGCCCATCGGCCATTTTCTACATCTGATCAGTCTAAAAATTTAACATGCACAACTACAGGCCAAGGAAGCCCTACATATGAAATTTGAGATGGATATCTCAAGTACTTCCCGAGAAATAGCAATAACAAACTCACTATCAAAATCCAAAATGGCTGCCTATCGGCCATGTTGTTTATCCGACCAGTCTCAAAGGTTGCCCTCAGAAAGTGTTATGCACTTCTCTATACGTAAATGTACAATGTGTAAATATTTCAAGTTCCTACCTCAAACAGTGTAGAAAAAGTTACCCCTTATCCCTCAAAAAAGTTTGCTTTAAAATGTAGAACTCATGATTATGTTTGATAAGATATGCTATAAGACTATATTAAATAGAAAATAAAATTTGACCCCCATGACCCTACCCCTTCTGGCCCTGCTCCTATGGGTCATATCAAAAATCCTAAAGTGTTGTCGCTTCCCCATACATATATCTACCATGACTTAAAGTTTCAAGTTCCTAACCTGGAGGAGATGTTGTTTAAAGGGAAACCGTCAAATTTTCCCCTTAGGGCCCCGCCCACCTGTCCCCTGGGGGGGATCAGGGTTTGTACCATCTTGAATCCCCTTCCCCTCAGGATGCTTCCTGCCATATTTGGTTGAAATCTGCATAGTACTTTTAGAGGCAATGTCATTTAAAGGCATACCGTAAAATGTACCCTTTTGGCCCAGCCAATCCTGAATTGCCTTCCCCTAAAGATGCTCCCTGTCAAATTTGGTTGGAATCTGCCAAACAGTCTCCTCTTTAAAGGCATACTGTCAAATTTACCCCTTTTGGCTCTGCCAATCTTGAATTGCCTTCCCCTAAAGATGCTTCCTGCCAAATTTGGTTGAAATCTGCCCAGTACTTTCAAAAGAATTAGAACTTGCCCTAAAACTTTAACCTGTGGAACTTGCCCAAAAACTTCAACAAATTCTAAAAGACTTGTGTTTCGGACCAATAATGAGCAAATATGGTCCAATTTGTTGCTAATGAACCTCCAAGCAATCGCTGTAACCATATTACAATGTAAAATTAATTAACAGTTGAGTTAAACACCAAAACACAGCTTGCCCAAAAACTTTAACCAAGTGGGACGCCGTGGGTACTGCTATAGCCCCTCCTATTCTTTGAATAGACCAGCTAAAAACTGAGCAAATGGCCATTACTCTATACAAGTAGCCCTTATTTATTGTTCAACAATCTGACTCCCTAAAATCTTTAAGCAGAGCAAGATTTGAGAATGTATTTGTGATAAATTAAAATCTGTATGTATATCAAGTTTGGAAAATGTATGTGATAATTTGAAATATGTATGTATTGCAAGTTTAAAGAATGTATGTGATAAATTAAAATCTGTATGTATATCAAGTTTGGAGAATGTATATCAAGTTTGGAGAATATATATCAAGTTTGGAGAATGTATATCAAGTTTGGAGAATGTATGTGATAAATCAATGCTGCAGACAAACATGTGGTATTGAAAGCGAAGGGTTGTAATTCTGACATTTGTTATAGATGCCAGGCCCATTTTAGTATATGACACTTTACCAGATCAATAAGCCAGGCCCATTTTAGTATATGACACTTTACCAGACCAACAAGTCAGGAATAGTTTATGGATGGAGTTGAAATAGCAAATAGGTTATTCCCTGTAAAACTTGCGCATTGAAAATGAACAAAGGGCTATAACTCTGTATCTAGTGGGGCACAACTTAGTGTGTGATAATTCACCTAAACAAGAGGCCCAGAGGGCCTGTATCACTCACCTGAATATAATTAAAGTAATTGGTATGGAGTAAAGATATAGCACTCCATGGTAGGTGCTGTTAGTACATATGAAATTTCAGAAAGATCCATCCAGTACTTGAGATATAGAGAACAAACTTCAAACAGAGCCCCACCCCTATACCCCTACGGGGGTCATACCCACCAATTATACAAAATTGAGTCACCCTCACCCAAGGATGCTCCACACTAAATAAGGATAAAATTCCTTAATCCCGATGGTCGGAGAAGGATTTTAAAGGTTTTACCTCTATTTTACCTATTGGGCCCCTCCCTTCTGCCCCCCTCGGAGACCACACCTACTGCTAATACAAAATTGAGTCCCCTTGGCCAAAGGATGCTCCAGACTAAATTAGGATAAAATCCCTTAATCCCTATGGTAGAAGAAAGATTTTAAAGGATTTACCTCTATTTTCCCTATTGGGCCCCACCTCTCTGCCTCCAGCGGAGTCAGACACACCGTTTATACGAAATTGCTTCCCCTTCACCCAAGAATGCTTCAGACCAAAAATGGACAAAATCCTGCCATTCCTACTGAAGAAGAAGGATTTTGAAGATTTACGTCTATTTCCCCTATTGGGCCCCACCCCTCAGGTCCCAGGGGGGCCACACCCACCAATTATACAAAATTGGTTCCCCACTACCCAATGATGCTCCACACCAATGATGGACCAAATCCTTTCATTCCTACAGAAGAAGAAGGATTTTAAAGAATAATTTGCTATGTTTCCCCTATTGGGCCGCGCCCCTCAGGCCCCTGGTGAGCCAGACCCATGGTTTATACAAAATTGGTTCCTGACTACCCAAGGATGCTCCACACCAAATATGGAACAAATCCTTTCATTCCTACAGGAGAAGAAGGATTGCTCCACACCAAATTTTGTTAAAATCCGCTCAGTGGTTCATGACAAGTAGTGTAAAGTTGACGGACGACGGACGATGGACGACGGACGCAGGACGACGGACGACGGACGCTGCGGTATGGCATAAGCTCACCTTGGTCCTTCGGACCAGGTGAGCTCAAAACCTGACAAACTTGTTTCAAAGGAAAAGGTCAAAGATCAAAGCATAGGTCACAGTGACCTTACTTTTTTACTTGACACTACACCATCCCAAGATGTAATTGCATACTAAATCTGGTTGGCACAAGGACAGTCTGCATCCCCCTCCATCTCTCTCTCTCTCTCTCCCACAAATTTTCTAATTAAAAATGAATTTAACAGTTCATGCCTTGTTTCCTTTAGCTCTTTGCATGCCTCGCTCTTCTGTTTCTTAAGATCATCAAAGTCACGCAGGGTCTTGGCTTTGTCACTGACAGCTCTATCACGTTCATGCCGCAGACTGTCGCAGAGCGTCCGAATGCTGTCTCGTTCCTGCACAATCTTGTCACGCTCACGGAGGGCCCAGTCTCGTGACATGTTAGAAGACTCCACCTCATGGTTTGCATCTGTCACAGAAAAGGTGTAAGTTATGTAGCTGTACATTTATATCTGTCACAGAAAAGGTATGACTTATGTAGCTGTGCATTTATATCTGTCACAGAAAAGATATAAGTTATGTAGCTGTACAGTTATATCTGTCACAGAACAGGTATAAGTTATGTAGCCTACATTTATATCTGTCACAGAACAGGTATAAGTTATGTAGCTGTGCATTTATATCTGTCACAGAAAAGGGATAACTTATGTAGCTGTACACTTATATCTGTCACAGAAATGATATAAGTGATGTAGCTGTACATTTACATCTGTCCCAGAAAAGGTATAAGTTATGTAGCTGTACATTTACATCTGTCACAGAAAAGGTATAACTTATGTAGCTGTACATTTATATCTGTCACAGAAAAGATATAAGTTATGTAGCTGTACATTTTCATCTGTCACAGAAAAGGTATAAGTTATGTAGCCTACATTTATATCTGTCACAGAACAAGAGGCCCAATGGACCTGCATCGCTCACCTGGTATAAAACTCACACTTGTAACCTTAAAAGTGATCTAAAATAAAGCTACAGGCAAAATATCAGTATTTATGATTAAAATTCATTCAAAAGAACCTGTTATTTTTTTTAAAAACATTTCACCCCTGTGATTGAAAGTCGAACAAAGTCATTATGTTGAACAAATTTTATAGCCTTTCATCTCAGGATGCAACTTGCAAAGTATCAACATCCTGGGACCCATGGTTATTCAGAAGAGGTTGTTTAAAGATTTTAAACAAATTTGACCCCTGTGACCTTGAATATAAGTCAAAGTCATTCACTTCAACAAACATAGTATTCCTTTATCCCAGCATGCTATTGACTAAATATCAACATCCTGAGTATTTTGGTTATTCAGAACAAATTGTTTAAATATTTTGAACATATTTGCTCCTTGTGACCTTGAATATGATTCAAGGTCATACATTTAAACAAACTTGGTAGCCCTTGATCCTAGTATGCTACTGACAAAATATCATCACCCCGGCATTTTGGTTATTGAGAAGTTGTTTAAAAGATTTTAACATATTTGACCCCTGTGACCTTGAATATGGGTGAAGTTCATTCATTTGAACAAACTTTGTAGCCCTTCATCTTAGCATGCTACTGGCCAAATATCATCACCCTGTGCATTTTGGTTATTCAGAAGAAGTTGCTTAATGTTTTTCACATATTTGACCCCTGTGACCTTGAATATAGGTGAAGGCCATTCATTTGAACAAATTTGATAGACCTTTACCCCAGCATGCTACTGGCCAAATATCATCACCCTGGGCATTTTGGTTATTCAGAAGAAGTTGTTTAAAGTTTTTAACATATTTGACCCCTGTGACCTTGAATATAATTGAAGGTCATTCATTTGAACAAACTTGGTAGCCCACCACCCAAGCATGCTACTGGCCAAATATCATCTCCCTGGGCAGTTTGGTTATTCAGAAGAAGTTGTTTAAAGTAAAAAGTTGACACCGGACGAACGACGGATGCCGCACCATGCCATAAGCTCACTTGGCCCGACATGGCCCTTTGGGCCAGGTGAGCTAAAAACCTAATCATCCCTTAGCCCAGCTAAATATTATCACCCTAGGCCTTTTGGTTATTCAAGATTTTGTCAAAATGTTTTGAATACATTTGACCCTGTGACCTTTAACTTGTTTGAAGGTCTTTCATTTGAACAAACATATAATAGCCTTTCATCACAGCCTGATAGGCCAAATATCATCACCTTAAGACTTTTGCTTATTCAGTAGACCCAGCAGTGTGTGAAGGTCATTCATTTGAACAAACTTGGAATGACTTTATCGCAGCATGCTACTAGCCAAATATCATCCCCTTTGGCCTGTTAATTGCTGAGAAGATGTCGTTTAAAGTTGACACTGAATGGACAACTAAAGACAGATGGACGATGGATACTGCACCAAGGCATAAGCTCATTTGGCCGTTTGGGACAGGTCAGCTCAAAACATGAGATTTAACAAGGTAATGCAGAAATAACATTGAGATTAAACAAGGTAATGTAGGAATAACAATGAGATTTAACAAGGTAATGTAGAAATAACATTGAGATTAAACAAGGTAATGTAGGAATAACATTGAGATTTAACAAGATAATGTAGGAATAACAATGAAATTTAACAAGGTAATGTAGAAATAACATTGAAATTTAACAAGGTAATGTAGAAATAACATTGAAATTTAACAAGGTAATGTAGGAATAACATTGAGATTTAACAAGGTAATGTAGAAATAACATTGAAATTTAACAAGGTAATGTAGAAATAACATTGAGATTTAACAAGGTAATGTAGAAATAACAATGATATTTAACAAGGTAATGTAGAAATAACATTGAGATTTAACAAGGTAATGTAGAAATAACAATGAGATTTAACAAGGTAATGTAGAAATAACATTGAGATTTAACAAGGTAATGTAGAAATAACATTGAGATTTAACAAGGTAATGTAGAAATAACATTGAGATTTAACAAGGTAATGTAGAAATAACATTGAGATTTAACAAGGTAATGTAGAAATAACATTGAGATTTAACAAGGTAATGTAGAAATAACATTGAGATTTAACAAGGTAATGTAGAAATAACATTGAGATTTAACAAGGTAATGTAGAAATAACATTGAGATTTAACAAGGTAATGTAGAAATAACATTGAGATTTAACAAGGTAATGTAGAAATAACATTGAGATTTAACAAGGTAATGTAGAAATAACATTGAGATTTAACAAGGTAATGTAGAAATAACATTGAGATTTAACAAGGTAATGTAGAAATAACATTGAGATTTAACAAGGTAATGTAGAAATAACATTGAGATTTAACAAGGTAATGTAGAAATAACATTGAGATTTAACAAGGTAATGTAGAAATAACATTGAGATTTAACAAGGTAATGTAGAAATAACATTGAGATTTAACAAGGTAATGTAGAAATAACATTGAGATTTAACAAGGTAATGTAGAAATAACATTGAGATTTAACAAGGTAATGTAGAAATAACATTGAGATTTAACAAGGTAATGTAGAAATAACATTGAGATTTAACAAGGTAATGTAGAAATAACAATGAGATTTAACAAGGTAATGTAGAAATAACATTGAGATTTAACAAGGTAATGTAGAAATAACATTGAGATTTAACAAGGTAATGTAGAAATAACATTGAGATTTAACAAGGTAATGTAGAAATAACATTGAGATTTAACAAGGTAATGTAGAAATAACATTGAGATTTAACAAGGTAATGTAGAAATAACATTGAGATTTAACAAGGTAATGTAGAAATAACATTGAGATTTAACAAGGTAATGTAGAAATAACATTGAGATTTAACAAGGTAATGTAGAAATAACATTGAGATTTAACAAGGTAATGTAGAAATAACATTGAGATTTAACAAGGTAATGTAGAAATAACATTGAGATTTAACAAGGTAATGTAGAAATAACATTGAGATTTAACAAGTTAATTTATAAATAACATTCCAATTCATTTATAAAAATTTATTCACTGTTCAAACTCAGCACCAGCATGCTCAGCTCATGTCTCAAAAGTTTCTACACAACAAACCTTACCTCTCAGCTCCCGCTGCAGTTTCTCAATTGTTCGCTTCAGCATTTCTGTTTCCTTGGATACCTGGTCCATCTCCTCTGCCTTTTCCTTCTGACAGCGTTCCCGTTCATATGTTTCCCTTAAAATCCTATCTCTATCTTGAATTGCCTCATGTCGTTCTTTCCTCGCAACATCCCGTTCCTGCATCACCATCTGCCAATCCTTGCGAAAGTCCTCACGTTGACCCTCCAGCTGGTCATTTTTAGAGCGAACATCACTATATTTATTCAGCAATTCTTTACGTTCCTTGATAGCTTTGTCTCTTTCCTGTATCGATGTCATCAATTCGTGTTTCAAATTTTCTAATTCTGTCAAAGCACCTTTTTTCTCCTTTTCGAGAGCCTCGTTCTTACGACTGTACTCAGTAACTCTTTCCTGTAATCGGTCGTAATCGTTAAGAACTGACGCCCGCTCTGCCATTACGAGACTGTGCTCAGATTTAGCAGCGTCTCTCTCCTTACAAGCAGATTCCAATTTAAATAAGATTTGGTTTGAGCCTTTCATTAGTTCATCCCTCTGTTCGGTGACTTTTGACATTTCCTCTTTGAGCTGATCCCGTTCATGAATGACTTGGTCCCAGTTACGTATAGCTCCTGTACACTGCTTTTTAAGAGCGTTTCTTTCCATGATAACGGACTCCTGATCCATACGCATACTTTCCAACTTTTTTTGCATCTTCATGTTATCATCCCTCAGATGTTCAAGTTTGCTGGTTGTTTCTAAATTCAGGGACCTAAGTTCTGTGTAGCGCTCCCGAAGTGCCTCATAATCTGCTCGAATTCCTTCATATTTGTCCTGAGCACAGTCATACATTTTGTTAAGGACTTCACTTGAGCCACTCTCATTGATTACCTCACGGAGCTGTTTGCGTAAGTCAGACAATTCTTGTTTATCTTCTTCATGCAGACTCCTAAGGCTGAGAATCTCTTGGTCTAGCTGCTGTTTCTCCCGCTCAAACTCCAAAGACTGGGACTTGATGTGTGTGTTCTCATCTCTGGCATGCTGGAGCTGGCTGAGGACAGATCGATATTTTTGACTATAATTCTCCAGCTCCTTATGTGTTTGGTCGTATCGTTTCTCCATGTCTGTCTGTGTCCGTTTCAATGACTGCAGTTCCTTCATTGCATGTTCACATTGGGCTTTAAGGCGGTCATAGTCGCGATGGTGGTCGGATTGTTGGCCGTCACGGTTCATTGTTGGATGATGTCTCTCAAGCTGGGACTTGGAGTTCTTATGTTTATCCTGGCCAGCTATTGTTGGGTAGGCACTCTCGTGAAGGTCATACTCATGAGAAGGTATGATTCGTGTGTATGTCTTACCACCATCCAGATCCTGTGTCTCTGTAAAATATACAAAGCTCCAATTATTGCACAAATGTTATACAGTTAAAACACAATAATAACATACTCTAGGGAACAAAAATAATTAGATATCTGCAGTCAACTTACTTATTATACTGGTCATTGGTAAGATATGTCCCTATTTCCATGCTAGACAATTGTGTATTGAAGAATCCAAATGTTTCCATGTTATGAGCCAGGGACTATAAGCCCCTTACGGTGGGGCACACCTAAGGCCAATTCTGAGAGCATGATTGTGTTCATTTTTCATGTCTGGAATTTCATATATGATTAAGAGGTGGGCATCTAAATCATTTTAATGTTATGAAGTTACCAGGGGTGGGTCAGAAGCATGATCTTAATCATCTCATGCCAAACAAGAGGCCCAGAGGGCCTGTATCGCTCACCTATGGGGGTCATACCCACCAATGATACAAAATTGAGTCACCGTCACGCAAGGATGCTCCACACTACATAAGGATAAATTCCCTTAATCCTGATGGTCGGAGAAGGATTTTAAAGGTTTTACCTCTATTTCTCCTATTGGGCACGCCCTTCTGCCCCCCTCGGAGACCACACCTACTGCTAATACAAAATTGAGTCCCCTTGGCCCAAGGATGCTCCAGACTAAATTAGGATAAAATCCCTTAATCCCATGTAGAAGAAGGATTTTAAAGGTTTTACCTCTATTTTCCCTATTCGGCCCCGCCTCTCTGCCTACAGGGGGTTCAGACACACCGTTTATACAAAATTGGTTCCCCTTCACCCAAGAATGATTCAGATCAAATATGGACAAAATCCTGTAATTTCTACCGAGGAAGAAGGATTTTGAAGATTTACATCTATTTCCCCTATTTGGCCCCACCACTCAGGTCCCAGGGGGGCCACACCCATCATTTAAACAAAATTGGTTCACCTTTACCCAAGGATGTTCCACACCAAATATGGACCAAATCCTTTCATTCCTACAGAAGAAGAAGAATAAGGATTTAAAAAAATAATTTGCTATGTTTCTCATATTGGGCCCCGTCCCTCAGGCACCTGGGGGGCCAGATCCACGGGGTATACAAAATTGGTTCCCCTTGTCCCAAGGATGCTTCAGACCAAATATGGAACAAATCCTTTCATTCCTACAGAAGGAGAAGGATTTTAAAGAATTTGTTATGTTTCCCCTATTGGGCCCCGCCCCTCAGGCCCCTGGGGTACCACACCCACGATTTATACAAAATTGGTTCCCCTTTACCCAAGGATGCTTCTGAGTAAATATGGAACAAATCCTTTCATTCCTACAGAAGAAGAAGGATTTTAAAGAAT